TTTGAACATTTTCAGGTTTATGAGCTGATCCTTTGTAAAATTTTAGTCTTGCACATTTTGATTGCTACTTTTTAAATGTGAACACAGTTAAGGAGATGGGTGTGTCGCTGACTAACTCCTTTGTATGTTCTGAGTTGATCTTATTAGCTAGAGATCAAATTCCACCAGGTTATTCAGAATCATTAACATCACAGTAGAGCAATTCAGAAAACCACCAGTTACTATACTCTAGAAATTGCAAGTGGTAACTATGAAATATTATATTGTCATATTTTATTTACTGTACTAAAAATCTATTTTTATTTCAAACTACATTTACAGTAATTTAATCAATTGCCCAGCAGCGCTACATGTGTGTGGTCTGTAGCTGAGAGTAGCTTGAGAGATTTGAAACATTAGCAGTTGGAGCTAAATCATCTGACTTCTATCACCAACATGTTTCCCTCTTAAATGAAATGATTTCCAAAAAACTTTCTCCCCCTAAAGCTGGCTATACACTTTGAGATATATAACTAATTTATGTAACCATTCACCTATGAATCTTTCTGAATGTTCGTTCTGTGTGAATAGATGCAAAAATTAACATTCTTGGATATATTTGCAGGTTGAATGTATGTAATATAATACTGCATTTTGGCCACTAAATGGATCTGAGGAACATAGGGAATAAGTATTTATTTATTTGCTCCTCAACTTAATCTAGTGGCCAAAATTCAATATTACATTAGATACATTAGACCTGAAAAGACAATATATCTAAGAACATTCCTTTTTGCATCTATTTGCACAGAGCAAATGGTTGGAAAGATTCATAGGGTGAATGGCGTTTCAAACTTGATATAAATAGACCTCATATTGTATGAGAGCAGCCCATTGTCTAGTCTTGATCCTTGTGCCCAGAAGCATGTCTGTCAGCCAGCCATTACATTCAGTTTGCCAAGGCATACATTTTTAGGTACATGTAATGAGGAAGAGGTACTGAGCAAGAAAGCAAGAAGACCGGCTGCTATTGCTTACTAATCACTTGGTATAAATCAGAGAATAGGCAAGGATTTCAAATCTGTCTGTTCGATCTTCCTTCCCAAGAGAGGTTTACTGTTCTGTCTGCTGCTTCCCTGGATTGGAGGTGGTTGGCTATTTGACTGGACCAAGCAACGATTATCAATCTATGACCATCCTAACACATACATTAAACAGTACACACACTATTTATGTCAGCAGCTGAACTGGCTGGTTGAGAAAGCACTGTTCTATTGTACCCCATAAAAAAAATGTGATTATTGCATAATCCTCGGATCCATGGACTGTGTACATCGCAGATATTAGCAGCAAACACCTAATGTCTGTAGATATCGTTATGCTCTTTGGTTGTAGTTTATTTTCTAAGCCATACTGAAACAAAAAGTGGTTTACCATGGTTTGCTATGTGCAGCAATTTGAAAATATCTTCTCTAAATCTTGTAGGCATAAATTATTTAATATAATATATATATGTACATGTATGGCTGAATTACTGCATACTTGGCAAAAGCTGTTGGGTAGGACTGTATAGCTAAAAATGTTTCAGCTGAAATTTTTGGGAAATTCCTTTTTATCCATTGTTCTAATCAATGCAAAGGTAGGCACAGATGTATTTTTTTTTAAATGCACTGAAAAAGGATTATTATAAGACAGGGCACGAGCATCTTCCATGCTTACAGTTTTTAATGTGATTGTCACTTTCACACTTTCATGCTACATTTCACCTGCAAATAAAGCTTATCTTTAAAAGCTGAACTCCAGGCAAACTGTTAAATACATAGATGAGAGTCGTTTAACCAGCCAAAAGGATTTCTATTTCTGTCCATCCAGTCTTAAGATTGATATAACTCTGCAGTACAGCAGTCTTAACTGGGGAGAGGGGGGCCTGGCCTTTCTCTGCTCTAGTTTCACCTTTATTTACAGGTCCTCTCACCACCTCCACCCTGTGAGTGGACAATGAAAGGAGAAGCAGAACACCAATGAGTTCATATATTTTTGTCAATCTACTCACTCCTTATATTAGCATGCTGCTTGCATAACAGCACACCTGATTGTTCTGTTTCCCCCCCCCCCTTCTCTTAACTCTGCTGTACAGGGACTGCAAGAGGTTGATACCAAGCCAAATTCAGCTTCTATTCAGAAATTATAATGAAATATATTTAATGAATATGTGGGTTGTCTTAATTTGTGTCATTTATATCTTCCTCAGTTTAGCTTTAGATATAGATGCCGCAACCCGAAAACAAGCAAATGCTTTGAAACCATTAATATGGTTTTATGCAGGTGTATTCCTACTGTCCCTCAAGATAGTACTGAAAAGCCCCAACTATTTCTGCAGTAAGCATTTCTTTCTCATGCTAAGGATCAGCATTGGTGCATCTCCTGACATAGAGTAAAAGAGGGAAATATGTATCTGCTTCACCCGTAAAGCAAATGAGAGCCCTTAAGACAAAGTGAAAAGCCTGCATCATGTCAACTGCAAAGTAATCTTGTGAGTCAATATTCTCTCCTTGCCTTATGGTAGGAACAGCTCTGATTTTATCTCTGGTCCCTTTTTGCATTAGGTCCAGAAAATTCCTTCTCTGCTTGGTATTAAATTTAACCTGCCTTCTTGGAGGTGCGATTGCAACCCCTCTAATCACATTATTTTCAGTATAGACCATTATTATTATATTTTGTAAATCTGTTGAGAGTATGAAACCTATGCATTGTTGGTAGTCTTAGTGAATTTAGTATCGTCTTAGGAAGTTGAGGTTCTGTGTTCAATCAGGACCATAGGCGTAGAGTCCCAGGGCACGCAACAGTTGATATAAAGATAAATACTAGTACTTGCCAGGCAATAAAGTGTCTGTTTTCCAGTACTGTTACCTTACTAACTATGTAAGACCTGACAGGTAATTTTTTAATGCAACAATATTTAATTTAGCCAACACATAAGAAAAACATGAGTGAAAGGCATTCACAGAAAAATTCCAATACTTATCATTAGGAAAAAGAAGGTTAGTCATTGCATTATTTAAACTAGCAGTGCCAACAGTCAACAAAGATCAGACCACTTTCTTCTGTGCATAATCATTCACCATTAAAGATCTAATTCATTTAGTAGTAAAAGAAAACATGTGATAAAGGTTGAATACTAATCAATCGTATATGTAAAATAATACAACATAGATTGTTTCAGGAGACAACCTGAGTTCATAGCAAAAAGAAAAAAAAAACCATAAGAAACTTGATTCCATTATTAACAGAAAAATAAATGTATAGGTATTTTGTTCTATAGGTAGACGCAAACTAATTTTATTTCCTGAGTCTTTACATTTTCATTCTACTTATTCTGTAAAACTATTGCACATTTATTTTAAGTCTAACCCTAAGCACATTAAAAATAAGAACAAATGTCTCCACACTGCCCCTATGAAGAAAATGTGTGTTTTCTTCTTTTTATGGGGATAGGCTAGTATACAGTGAAGCTCACCTTACTCTATGGTCCAGGCAGCAATGGAAAGTGGGAGGGCCCTCTTACCAGAAGCCACATCCCATCCTGATGATATGGCCACTGGTCAAGCACCATTTACAAGTTTAATGACATCAGTGAGAGGGGCATTAAAACGACCAGCATGTAGAGAAAGAGTGGCTTTGGAGGACCAGTTATTACTACTGGGAACATTGGGTAGAAAGATAGTAGAGTAAGGTGAGTATTACTGTGTGCTTGTCTCCCTCACGAAAAAAAACAAAAAAAACCCCAATATATTCTTTATTAGGGGAGGGTGATTCAATTTTAATTATGTTTTATGTGGTTGGAGTTAAGCTTTAATTCTGCTATATGTAGAAAACATGTTTTCATTGAATATATATGCTAAAAAAGTACTCCACTTAACTATTCTTGGTTGGAATTGGTTTGGGATGCTTACTGGGGTAATAATTAGGGCCTTTTTTTTCGATCAAAACTGCATCTCTCTCCCCATGAAAGTTTAGAGCATTACAAAAGCAGGTTAAAAGCAGGTGAAATGCAGTTCACAAGGAGGTCATATTCAGGTCAGATGCACCTGTCAATAAATTCTGAATGATCTCAGCAACACCTCAAAGGCCGTGTCAAAAGCAAGGTCATCCAGCAAGCCCAAAGCTCTTCAACAAAGGCCCTCATGTACCCTGATTCCCCCATTACCAGTCATAATTTCAAAGCTATGCGTCAAGTACTTCCACATGCAGCCACTCTGCCTGTAAGGAGCGTATATCAGAAAATCCTGTCATTCAAGGCAGTAGGGAAATCCTCTGATATTGAGCCCAGGCAGAAGAAGCACAAGGTGGAACTGCCCTTTGCATGATTGCTGCAATGCTCAGCAGACTGTATTAAAATGTGTAATGTTTTAACTGACCTAACCTTGGGTAAGGGCTCATTTGATACTATATGCATGTTTTAGAGAATAGCTAGCATCAAATAAATACCTGAATATTCCTACCGACAGCAGCATAAATAAGACCATTACAATCATCAGAAATTTCAATTTAGAAAATTTCCATGCCACTATGAATATTTGTCATTTGGCATAAACATTCTATAGGATATATAGTAAAATGACCATACATGTAACTGAAAGTAGACTGTTAAGGTATAGCCTGTTTTTTCTACAAGCTGAAAGTATTTTGTCGAGCAGAATTATTATCTCATTCTTGTATAGATTATGCTTGATTACAGTGAGGGAAATTAGATTATAGGGTTGATTTACTACATACAAATAGGTTGTTCACTTTGCAAGGGAATTTTCCCTTAGCATAGTGAATCTGGTGAAAATACAGTTTGCAAAGAATACCCAATCTTGCAAAAATAACAAAACATTTTTTTTTTCTTGCACATGATTGGTTGATGGAGGTCAGCAGAGCTTCACCACATTCACTAAACTGAGAGAACATTTCTGTTGCAAAGTAAAAATTGCCTTGCAAACTGAACAGCCTATTTGCCTTCAGTAAATCAACCCCTGTGTATATCTAATTAGTAGTCTAGTCTACATCTATACTATAGTGTTTGTTCAGTGTAAAAATGCTGCAGTCTTTTATCAAGCCATATAAGAGCAGCACATTGTGCTGCTGTGCCACAGCTACAAGTCTCTGCCGAGCAGATCAATCTCATCCAACACAAAATCCATATCTTCACGGCTCACTTGGGGGCTGATGATAATGTGGCGGAAGAAGTTGACTCTATCGCGGTGTGGTTGATATCCCACCATCATGCTTCCCTTTCTCATCATCCTTTCTTTGATTATGGGGGCAACCTACAAAAAAGACAATAAAGTAAACAAAAAAGAAAAACAAACATCTGTTTCATAAGTTTGTGGTATGCATTTGAGTTTAGGGTTTTAAAGATCAGTCCATACCATATAGATAATGGAGGTCAGTTTTAGGTAAACAGGAGAAGGTTGAATCAACCACCAGTTTGTTGTGTTTGTAAATCATTCTGGCAATGAGATTTATGCATATTATTTTCCAGTTCTTCCCTTATACCGCAGCCAATATAAAGTGGCTCACAATGCTAGATTATACACGTATTTATATTACACTGTGGAAAATGCAAAAGGACTGCACTGGAATTCCTGTTGATGCTGCAGGAATAGTGGTACTATTTGTCTAAGGGTAGAAAAGAGTATCTCATCTGGGATACTTGAGTTTAAATGAAGCTAGTGGTGATACTGCTCACAGTTTAATTATACCAGATCGGTTGTGGGTGGACTTGCTAATGCTAATCCCCTGGATGTCATGGATCCTTTGGCTTTAAAACTTTTTGACAACAAGTATGCAGATAAGGAGTCATGACAGTCCAACATCCAGATGCAAGAGCAACCAAGTACCAGTTAAACAAACATAAAAACATTTTTATTAATTTCAGTTTCCATTTTAATAGAATGGAGAAGAACTCTGAGCATAATAAAACTTTTTATGCTGTGGTGATACTTCCTCTTTAAATCAAACCCATGCTTTGCCCAAATAGGACACAGTAATAGATTTCCTTTAATCTCCCAACATATACCCACATTTTCCTTTTTCTTTTCTTACTTCATACAGGGCAAAAAACGTCCAGTACTTCAGGATTTGGAAAAGCATATGACTCACTTCACGTGACAGTGCTAGACCAATCAGCAATTACTAGTGCTGCCTAATGGAGAATGTTGATAGCCCTGGGTAAGCTATGACTTGAGGGACTCATAACTTACACAGTATAGCTTCTCCTGCTAATAGCAGCTGAACTCATCAGTGGGGGACCAAAGCAAAGGTAAGTTGTTGACACAAGAACTTCAATGGGCCAACAAAAACCTTTGGGTATTTTCTAGAATGCCCTGCTCTGCAAAATACTGACTTCAGGAACTATATAGGAGCCTGGGCCTGTTACCTCCAATTTCTAGCGCATCAGTATTGGTGCATTAACAAAATAAAAACGCTTATGATCACTAGTAATTGCATGGAAGGAGGAAAGGGCAAAGGATTTATTCTTCAAAACTTCAGTCCCAGAAAATGCTATCCACATCACAGAATACTTTACATTTCAGGGTACAGAGGCACTCTAAAAGATTTGGCTTTACACCTTTATTCACCTGCTTATGTCATTCTGTACAAATTTGGTTGGAAAAAGATTCCCTCCTGACCTCTAATGATTGCTGGATAAAAACCCTGGATCTGCACACTGCTATGTTTTTTTAATCAGTATTAATATGTTTTTGCTGATAAAGCAATTAGACAATAAATTCACTTTTACCACAACCACAAAGACATCAGAGGGAGCAGATTTCCAGAAGCATTACCAAAATCAAAACAGTAATTTACTATGCCGCTTAGACATTGACATTTATTGCCGGTTTTGTTTTTAAAATCCATAAAATTACTTTTAGAATAAACTACAAGAACATAATAACATACAGCTGTTTATATAATTTTTAAAAGCTTAGAAAAAACAACGATCAATTAAGCAATACCCAGCATTTTAGATATCTGTGTTCATATAACAGACTGAGTTTTACATTATTTAAGGAGTGATTCAGCAATGACTAATATTTGATGGATAGATACCCAATGGTGGAATTTACTAAACAACTCATTTTGTTGAAAAATTGCTCAAAAACAAAGAACTGAATATTTAACAAGACTGTGTCTTCTGAGATATATAATAATGCATTTGACAAAGCTGTATGTTCAGTGTACTAGTCATTTATCACATGAGAAGTTGGCAGAAAATGCCTTGTATCATTAAGGAAAGCATGTTTAACACTTAACCAACATAAATAGATTAGCTTATTCAGAAGCGGATATATAGTTTAGAGCATGTTTGCCCTAGGCTTACAGTAACTAAGGGACTATTTTTCCAATGTTATTTCTGCATTGTTAAACATGTACTTAAAGTGTAAGTGAACCCTAACAGTAAATTTATCTTACTTTCCAGAATTTGTGTAGGATCTAGTCAGCCTGAAAATAAATTTAGGTAATCAGCAAATCCACCCTTTGAGAAGACTAAGGGGTCTATTCACGAAGCTGCCGAAGGATCTGGCCGTAGCTTCGGCCGATCCTTCGGCTAGCTTCGGCCCCAGGACCACTTCGATTCAGTAGAACCGAAGGGGTGCTGTACGGGCTATTCACATAACTATAATAGCTACTGCTCCCTCCAATAGCAGCCTACTGTGGATGGAAGAGCGCAGGGGGACATGGTGCCAAATGACAACAGACCACTTTCCCTGCAGAGGTGCCTAACGGGGAGTGAGGATAGAGTGCCCTTCTTTTTGTTTCCCCTGATAATGTAACATAATACATAACCAGAAAGGGGAAGAAGGAGATGCTGCTTTTATTCCTGGGTGAGCACTGCACTGTGAAGGAGGCCTGTGACTTTGAGCTCCACTCTCCATAAAGAGCCTAATATCACCCTATCTCCCTCAGGGAACCCCAAAATGCCCCCACAAGCTTCCATCTCCCCTCATCTCAATGTCACAGATTCCAAAACAGTCCTACTCAGACTGACACCGTTTTTTGCTCTCACTGACACTAATGAAGCTGCATTTTTTTTAAATTTCCTAACAGAGACAGCATTGATGCAGGGGCATTATTTTCCTATAAGTAGCACCACTAACGCAAGGACATGTTTTGATTTTCATGACACTGCTAATACAGGTGCATTTATCCTTCCAGTGCAACCACCAATGCAGGGGCATTTTATCCTTCCAGTGAAACCATCAACATGGGGACATTTTTTTTTCCAGTGACACCACTGACGCAGGGGCATGTTTGACTTCTGGAAACACCAGCCACTGAGGAGCATGCAATTTTGCCAGAGCTAGATTGATCACTCCTACTCTCCTCCCTGTCACAAAAGGGTCTATTCACTAAGCTGCCGTAGGCAGCCGAGTGAAAGACCGACCTGATGTGAAGTGAGCCAAACGCTGTTCAGCTATTCACTTCAGGCTGGTACGGCTGATTTCAGCCGTATATCGGCTGAAATCAGCCGTACATCGGGTGGCTTCACGTGTATTCGGGTCGGCCAAACATGCTCAGCATGTTCGGCCGACCCAAAGTGCAGGAGGAGTTCGACTCAGCCGATCCAACATCTGGATCGGCTAAGCCAAACCTCCGGCAGGCTACTCGCTGCTGTTCGGTCTATTCTTATAGATGCCGAACAGCAGTGAGTGAATAGCCGAATGCCGCTGAGCGGCATTCATCTCGGCTGTTCTGCTCGGTCCCTCAGAGGGACCGAGCAGAACAGAAAAATAGTTAAAAAGACAATGACAGCTAGCTGCACCCAATATTATTCTATTGGCCGGCGGTTCTGCTGCCGTAAAAAAAAACGAAAAGAGTCTCACGCTCCCGACCGCCCAGGAGAGAAGCACTGATTTTTCTTTCTTTTTCTTTATTAAGTTCGGGAGCTGTACGGGCTATTGTGAATAGCCCGTACAGCAGCCCTTCGGTTCTACTGAACCAATGGGGTCCTGGGGCCGAAGCTAGCCGAAGGATCGGCCCAAGCTACGGCTAGATCTTTCGGCTGCTTCGTGAATAGACCCCTATGTGGCCATAACAGGATATGTGTGTAGTAAATAACCCAATATCCCTCAACAGAAAAAATAATACTGAATTCAAATAAATAAAAAATTAAAGATAAATTGGCAAACAATTCAGTAGATCAGATATCCAAAATTTTCTTTAGACATGCACAACAGTGGGGCTGGAACATTTATATAGCACATTTGTTTTTTTTATAAATGTGATTTCCGCTTTGCTTGCTTTGGGCTTCATTCATTTTAAAAGAGCCGTGGGGAGGAGAACCAGTCACATGACCTGCCAAGGCCCCCCTAAGTGCAGAGATACAACACCAATTCTATGTACGTAAGAACAATACTTGAATAAAATGTTCTTTACAACTAAGCCCAATACTGATACAAATTACACAAATACACAAACTTATAAAATACTGCGACCAATTAAACAAGTAAATCAATTCATGAAATAAAGGGATGGATTAGAAAAAAGGCGTAGGCCTACAGCTACTAAAGCTCTAAATTCTTTCTGCAGCTTTGGATTTTTTTTAAAGCCCACACCATTTAAAGTACTTTCATTTTAACATTTAAAACATTTACTGTCTCTCTGTCAACTCATGCCTCTATGGTGTACTTTTTTAATGTGCTTAGGTCAATCAGGACATGATTCACCAGACTGCTGCCAAAAATTGCAAAGAGGCTTGCAAAGGTTTCTTGAATTTGAACTTTTTACATCTGAGTCTTAAGATTGTCAAACCCTGTCAGCTTTTTGGATTAATCTGGAGTCCATCCCTGAATTCCAGGGATGTATTAAAACACAATAATACATCCCTGGAATTCAGCTATTGTATATAATTGCTTAATATCAACTATCTGTAATGCCCTGCACAGAGGTACCCAACTGGGAGAGGATGGAACAGGTCATGGAGCCAATTAGGCTCTGCTGCAGCTCACATGTGCGGACAATGTACATGCTAACAGTAGGAAAGGGCAGGGTGATGACCTCATTGGTGTCATGCTGCTCCATTTGGTAATCAGCAGTGGGAGGCATGTTTGTGACCAAGCTGTAGTGGAAGTCAAGTGCCTGGCTGTGCTGTCTGATAAACCAGCTCCATATATCAATTTTCAATGTGTATTTAGATGTTTGTCTGAAATTCAGCTTTAATAGCAAATTGGTTTTAGCTTTTGAGACACAATTAAATGTCAGATTTCTTTCCGGAGTGCTTTATACATACATACATACATACATACATACATACATACATACA